GAACACAAATGGAAAACACAGCACACAGGTAGTGACAGTGGCACATACCCGTACAAAAGTAACCAAGGAGTCTACAGGACATAGAGGAGACTTCACATCAACTATCAACTTCCTTTGAGGGACATCTAAGCATCCTGAGCCCTTTAAGCCATCTTGGTGAAATCTTTTCATTAAAATTTTGGAAAAAAATTTCATGTAAGATCTTAAGTCTCATTTCTCCAACCCCCATTTAATCCCAAGGTTGATTCTTTTTAAAGTGAGGAATAAACTACAGTTATACTTAAAAGATTCTAGAACTGGAAGAAGTCTCAGAACTTTCCTGTGCTGACATTTATTGTGCAGATGAAAGAACCAATGTCCCAGTAAGTTAAGCATCTTCCCTCTGATGGCAGGCTCTTAGCAGGCAAGCTGAGGTTATTCTAACAGTCTTTGGCACCCAGGAAAAGCCTATTGCACAACAGCATCCAGCATCACTGAAAGCACAGCAGGAAGCAGAACGAAGCATGGCTGAGTGTGCATACTCATTAGTTCCATGTTAATTGAGCTCCTAGGATGTGCTTGATACTGGACCAGCATTAGAAATAAAATGGACAACACAGCCTGTTCTTACAAAGCCTTACTAGTGGGGGATGCAAATTAAACTTCCAGTAACAAAGGCTAAGCGGGAACTAAATAAAAACAAAGGCTGGCTTCGGGCAGACTAGACAAAGGAAGCCTGTCTGAGATGAGGCTTCAGACAATGGGTGAGGACCAGGAAGCCATATTAAGAATTGGGAGAAACATATTCCAGGCCATGGGATGGGTTATTGTAAGAGCTCCTGGAGAAATGACTCGGCATTCTAGAATCTTCTAGAAAGTCAATGTGATTGTATCTTAATGAATGAGGGACAGACAGATAACACAAAGTTCTGGGAAGGGTTGTAGATTTTATCATACTTTTTCACGAAGTAAAGGAACTTCACGAAGATGTGGGAAGTTCATGGTCTATCTGCTCCACTGTAGAAAACATAACTTGTGACAATCTTTTTCAACAAGGTCTATATGCCACTTTTACTTATTTCCCAAGTTGAAGGCTAGAAGACATGCAGAAACATGCAACTGAGCCAGGCAAGAGCAGCTCTGAATTTCTAGTCACAAATTCTTTGCTTGATGTTATACTCTGTAGGTGAGGTGAGTGAGAGAAGACATTCCATTAAAAGTAGCATTGTCTTTTGTTTGAATCTTCCTTTACCAGCCACAGATAGTCCCAGTATGAGAGCATTATCATCAGAACCTTGCCATAGAAAGATGAATGAGGAGGCAGAAAGGGGATGTGAGAAGAAGGAAGGATGAAAGCCAGTATGTTTACACTGTTCGCAAAGCCTTTATATTGATGCTAGCTTCCTTGTGATGGATTCAGTTGAATTCATAGTTTATATCTGAAATTGACAGTCAAAGAAGCAATGAGCAGTATGTGATGAGAAAGACTCATATGTACTGCCCTGCAAAGCAGCCTCCCATGTCACCTGGCCCAGGATGCCAGCACCAGGAGGACCTAGGGATGTTAGGGTGTGGTTACCCTTACAATATCCAAAGTTAAGTGGATATCCAAAATGGAGCTGGCATTCCATCTTGGCCTTAGGTGTCACAGCACCAATAGGCTTAGTTATCACTGGGAAAAATGGACAAAGAACCCAGAATAGAAAAGGTAAGCTTGTTTAATATATATATATGTAATCTGTATGTAGATGAGACCAAAATATGAGACAAACCTAGAAGTCCCAAAGTGTAGGCCAAGACTCTCCAAACATAGACATTTTCTTTTGTTGCTATTATTATGTTAGGCGGCTTGATTTATTCATTCTATGTTATATATGCATCAAAATGTCATATTGTATTCCATGTATGTATATAATTATGATTAGTCAATTTAAACATTATTCCTTTTTTTAAGATTGATTGTATATTTATTTACATGTGACTGCATGCACATATGTGTGGGGTACCATTAGCAGCCAGAAGAGGGCATTAGACCCCCTAGAGTTAGGGTTACAGATGGTTGTGAGTCACCAAACATAGGCGCTAGAATCAAACTCTGATCCTCTTTGAGACAGCAAGTGCTCTTAACTGCTGAGCCAGCTATCTAGCCCCATCATTTAAATTTTATATAGTTATTTTTTATATTGAGGACCACCAGAGTTCTCCCTCTTGAAAACTTGAGTGGCCTCCAGTCCTCTTTCCAACATGCAAATTTATTTATGCTGGTTGTTTGTTCAGTCCCCTCCTCTCTCTGAACAGGAAATTGGTGTATTGTATCTGGATTCATTTCTGATTTTTCTCAGAGTGAAGGCTTTGGCTCCAAGCTCTTTCACCTTGTGTCTGCCTTGCTATGTGCTGGAACTGATATCCTGTATGCAGCCTCCTGCACTTTATCCAGTGCAAGGCTGTGCCAATAGCCTCTTGCTGCCATATCCTGACTCAAGGAGAGTCCTCAGGAAGGCAGGAATGATTGCTTGGCAAGATCTGGGCTTAGAAGCTGCATGGACCCTGCAGGCCTCAGTGATGCACGCTCAGGGGAGCTGTGGCTTCATTTCCCACATTTCTTTCACACAAAGCATGATTATAGGGAAGTGCTTCCATATGGCCTAGGGGAAATCCCAGCCAAACTGACTTCAGCTGTCCAGTTTCAGAGCCACAACAGACAGGATGGGGCCACCACGACACAGAATCAAGAACATGAAGCACCACGCTTTCGTGCAAGCAGAAATCTTTACTAACTTTAGTCTTTGCCTGGGCACATGGGCTTCCAGATGGATGAAATGCCAGCATCTGCCACCACGTCACTCACACCCTGCAGTAAAAACTCTAAGCACTCACCACCACCCCACCACCCCCACCACCCCCA